AGCCACCCTCCAGAAGGAAGGACAGTGTCACCACCATCTCAGAGATGATTTGAGGATCTACTGCTGAGTGATACACAAATAAGATGCATTTTTTTAATAGTTATGGTACTTGAATATATTTTTTAAATTTAACCAGAGTTTAGCGTCTCTTTGTTTATAACATTCAATGTCCCCTTGCCTTGTATTAGAACATTTTGGCCACAATCATCCAGGTAGACATATTTTTTTCAAGGAGAATTTTTTAATCACAAATTGTCCCGTATAATTTTAGTATTGCCTGAAATGCCTGTACTCAAGGCACCATTTAACAAAAACCGTGGTTCAAGGTGTTTGAGTTGTGAGTACTGGGGGCGTATTGCTGAGTGCATGTGAACAGATCGATAGGTCAAGCAACAAGTAGTCCTTGTCTGTTCTGAAATCCTCATACACACCATAGAGCAAAGAACACAAAAATAACTACATATAGGAGGATGAAAAAAGACACACGTCCATCGAGTTCAGCCAAACGTTTACAACTTTTATCTTTCTACACAATCACTTTTATTCTGGCTGTTTATTTAAACTATTGTAAGCAATGTATGTATTATGAAAACAATACAGAAAGTTGTTATTACAGCTTACATCTAAGCAAAAGTAAACCAGAGAGGACATACGATTTAGAATCTTCATACATTATTTCAAGACGTAATACAGTTGACCCCCGCAAAGTCGTGGTTCAGAGTTCGCGACCCCAGTCGTTGCGGATTTTTCCCATATAGGGGAGACATAGCAGGGGAGATGGATTTTTCCCACTGCGGGACACATAGCAGTACAGTACTGTACAGTATACGGGTTTACCTTTACATTCTTTTTTTTTAAGGGTAATATATTAAGCTGAGTTTGAAATGAAATTAAAGTGTTTTGGGGGCATATTTAGGGTTTAAACTATAAAAATAGGCATTTTTTTGACCACATTCAAAATTCACAGGCGTTTCACAATTTGCAGGTGCTCTATGAATGTAACCCCTGCGACTTTCGGAGGACGGCTGTATGAAACGCGATTAAGAATCATGCAGCATGTTTAAGAAAAATCAAGCACATCAGACATTGCGTGAAAACTGGGCTGTCTCCAGTAGCAATGGTATAATTTTTCAAAAACAGGAAAGCAAAATGACGAGAAAACCTCTTAAAAGACAAGACACCTCAATTTACTTCTTCAAGGAATGAAATGACCACAGCTAATTGTAAACACAATTTTAAAAGCAGTTACAAAATGGCATTGCATTCTGAGGCCTGTCTGTAAGTGTCTACTGCCAATAACAAGTAACAGTTTAAAAAAAAAAAGACAAGAGAAATGATATAGTTCATTTAAGTGTAAAAAAAAATCAAAAAAAAAAAAAAAAAAAAAAAAGGAATGCCACGAGAACAACACAAGTTCAAAGAAGCAGCAGAATATCTTCAAGCAAGTCAACCCTTCTCTATATGATCTGATGCCACCTGCATCACTTGCACTATATTGTCTATAGCATAAGCATCAATGTGTTTTTACCTTTAACAAGCCCTTTCCAGGTAAGGCTGATAGGTCTGGCCACATTTTGAAGCTGAGTTGTACACAGGATGCTCTGGATTTGTACAGGGATTCATGTGTTACTTATGTCCAATGAATAATATAACACATGACCTGAAACTTATATATGACAAGACTAGAACCGGCATTTCAAATATTGTATAGAAAAATTGTATATTGTATAATTGTATTTTCTTTTGTTACTTTTTTAAATCTTTGTCAGAAGTATTAAAAGTAGAATTAAATATCCCAGTCAATGTCCACAAACAATTAACATTCACAGCAACAGAGTGAACAAAATCGTACAAGTTATGGAGGTTTATGTGTGTGTATGCAGTCAATTTAAAAAGGTAACAAGTTTTGGATGTTCTCCTGTATCTGTTTGAAGTGATTTTATTTTATTTTTTTTAATATCTGAAACATAATCAGGCAGTAGAGATTGTTTTCAGTTTTACTAAGTGCTGAATAATCCCCGTCAACAAACATGACATATGAAACAATCTTATAGACACACATTATAAAACCTCTCAGGGGATTTGTACAATCTGATCCCAATCTTAATCCCAATCTGAAACCAGCTATCAGCAACGTATACAACAAAAGGTTTATGAAGGAAACATCTCTATCATTCCAATGGAGAAGTCAAGAAAACAAAGTCTGTTATACTACATATGCCATATACTGATCCCATGTAAGTTCTGATAACAAGGGTCTGTTACGTGACATATGCCATATACTGATCCCATGTAAATTCTGATAACAAGGGTCTGTTACGTTACATATGCCACATACTGATCCCATCTAAGTTCTAATAACAAGGGTCTGTTATGTTACATATGCCATATACTGATCCCATGTAAGTTCTAATAACAAGGGTCTGTTATGTTACATATGCCATATACTGATCCCATGTAAGTTCTGATAACAAAGTTCTGTTACGTTGCATATGCCATATACTGATCCCATGTAAGTTCTAATAACAAGGGTCTGTTATGTTACATATGCCATATACTGATCCCATCTAAGTTCTGCTGTCACTTGATCACACAGTAGAACCATAACACTGCAAGGAAGGATCAGCAGAATGTCATGTACCGGCTTGTTTATATTGCATAATATACTTCCCATATGGTATGTCTGGAATCAAGCATATGCCACTCACTTCTCTTAATCAAAGCTTTCTAAATTTTTATAAATGTAAATGTGCCTCCCTGGCACTACAACCTAGAGGAAAGACTGCCACAACATGCTGACTGTCAATATCCATTACCAGATAAATCCTCCATGAAAAGGCAAAGCGTGTCATGTCATATTTACATAACGACATACCAACTAACCATAAAATGATTGAAGCCGTCCTTCACTCCAAGATGTAAATTGTTATTAAAATGAAACCATTGTTATAACAAGAACAAATATATCTTCTGTCAATGTTATAGAAAGAATAGGAGGAGAATATTCCACAACATATTTTATATTGCATTGTATTATATCCCGAATCACATGATAGCCATGTCTTTATATTACACTTACAGGTGCCCCCCCAACATATTCCCTTACATCAATACACAAGGGACAGGAAGCCGACAACTAATATTGGTGTGATGTTCATAAAGCAGAAATGACTACCATGTAAAATGATTGTCATTAGGATATGATGAACTATCTAATGAGCGGGTCTATTCTGCTAATTATGGCCGTACTGTAGAAACACAGTTTCAGACACAAACCACAAATACCCTCCGCTTGTATGCTGGTACAGGCCAATGGCCTAAGGACCACTTCAATCCTGTGTGGCCTTTAAACGCAGCATCGCTTCGCATTTGTAGAGCTCGAATGAAATTTCGCTTTCTACAGGAACGTTGAATTCCACTTCATCAGCAGTTTTAGTTTATCTCTGCTAACAATTTTCCTGTGGCTTTGAGGGCTGGCATACAATATCATCAGCAGAAGACATTGCATTCTAGTAGCTGGGCCTAGGATTTCCAGCAAGCACAGACATTCAGATTACTGAGCCGTGCATGGCTGAATATGGATGTGATGTGATGTTACACTGCAAGAACTACTTCCAGGGAAAAGATTATAAAGACAAAGAACCATCCCAATGAAATTGGGTCTACAGAAGACTCTATTAGAGGACGTGAGGGCAATGAAATATTGCAATGATACACTATACTATACACAAAGTATAAAAAAGAAAAGAAAAAAGTGTTCATCCCTCTGTATATTGTAATCAGGATCTTGCATGATGCAATTGTACACAACCATCATCAACAGTCTAAACCTGAGGTGACCGAACAAGCCTAAACCAGGGGTAGGCAACTTTGGCACTCCAGTTGTTGTGGAACTACAACTCCCATGAAGCATTGCAAGACTGTGGCAGCCACAGTCATGACTCCCAGAGGCAGAGACATGGTTGGATTTGTAGTTTCAGCACAGCTGGGGTGTTGAGGGTGCCTACTTCTGATCTAAACAGAGCCAATGACTACTCAGACCATAAACAATGCCAAGCAGACACACATGAGTAAAGTAAATCCACTGTATAAAAGTGTAAGGAAGGGTCTGTACATTACAGAATCTGAAACAAGGCCACCGCTACCACATCAACGCCCCGCGTGTGATAGTCCACCATAGGCGGCTTACAAGTAGTACTAAGGGAAACCTTTCCTAAGAGAAATCTGGGGGCTGCCATTGGCAATCCCTCCTTCTGCAGAGATTAGCCGCCAGGCTGTCACAGTAATCCAATAGACTTAATACTTTCTAAGTCACTGATCTGGAACAAGCATGCAGATCATGTGTTCTGGCTTCACCCTGACTTCACTGGACACATGCTTGTGGCAGATCAGTGGAAATGCTGAAGTCAGAGCGGATGGTCGCCTTCACCTGGCTCAGTGCAGGATTGTTATTCTTTAGAACACAGTAAAAGTATTTGATTAGTTTAATTGTAAAGGTTCTCCTAGCTGTCCTTACTTTCTCAGCAGTTTATTGTGCCCTCTGCCCCCCTCCTCCCCTATTACAAAATCAGAGCTCTCACCAAGTCTCCTCCAGGCCATGTCCTGAAATCTGTGTCCTCATATGACAACACTGTCCGGACTGACCAGCACATAGGCTCCAGCAGTTGTCAGCCTACACTGATCGCTTCTGATCAGGACCTCCAGGAGACTTTCAGCCGAGACCCCCTTCGGGTTTAACTTCAGGACATCTGTGTACGGTCCCTGTCACCTTGTCAGCAGACACTCCCTCTCCGGGGAGCCATGATCCCAACTTCAACAACACTGATTTCCTTGTTCAGCGCTTCCCAATCCTGCCAATCTGCCCTACCCTCCTACCTGCTGCCAGCTTCACCATACACCCAGCACAGCCATCGCTCTTCACTTTGCCCGTCCGAGCTCCCCCTCCTCATACCAGCGTCGGGCCGCAGACCCCGGTAGCAGCGCACCCCCAAGTCTCTTACCTTTCATGGCCGCGATCACATAATACATGGTCGTCCTGCTGTGCCACTTAGCCCCCCTCACAGTCCTCTGCTCTCAGATGCCAGCTTCGCTCTGCCGCATCCCCCGCCCGAAGCTGCCATATGAGAGTCCATGTGACCCTTTGCATGCACGCCCCGAAAACTGACAGCGGCTCCACCCCACCTTGCCCATATCAGCCAATGAGTGAAGGGGGAGCGGACACTGGGGTACGCCCTCCAGAGGCTCATCCCGCCTTACACGTGGCCTTCGTGTGACAGCGGCGAGTTGAACAGAGGTGGTGGGGGAGAGGGGGCGGTGCCGTGAGGGGGCGGAGACTGCCACTGACAGCTGACACATGCCGATGTGTGTACATGTGTGTGCCAGCGCTGCATGCCTGCTGCCCCTTCACCCACCAGATACCAACATGTGTGTGATCATGTGGGAGACGTGAATTCCAGCAGCGATAGAACAGTGGAGAGCCTGGAAGCTAATCCTTCCAGCTGCCCGCAGCATCCGCAATTGTACTATAAAGACTTTATAAGCCGGCTTTTAGTTCGTGGTGAAATCAGCCACCGGCTTCTTTAGAGGTTTCAGTACAAAAGTAGCTGTGCAGCCATTTTTAAGACCTGGTGTGTGATGGGCGACATTGGTGCAGGCAGCCCGCACCAGGTGACACAGTGTAACCCCGTCTTAGAAGTTGCATAAGAAAGGAGGCATACCTTATCCTGCCGGATGAACGTCCCCTCCTCTGCCAGCGTCCATCACTGAGATGGCCACCGGCAGTGAGTGCGCGTGATGTCATGTGTGTGCGTAATGATGACATGTGCAAGCGTGATGACGTCCCAGCAGGTGACAACCAACGGCCGCACCTGGGTTCACACCTAGCGTTTTGTAGCGCTTTTTCTGTCCTAAAAAAGCCTGAAACAAAATCCCATTCATTTTTATGGCCATGTTCACAAATGAGCATTTTATTGCTTGTAGGAAAACGCCTGTCGCTGGAAAAAAGTATATGACCTTTTTTTTTTACAGATTAAAGTGACATTAAAGTCACAAACCCCCCCTCCCCCATGCCACCTTAAGGACTTACCGCAAATTATGGCTCTAGATCTGATCATCTTCCTTCCACTCGTATTCAGCAATTCCTCCAGTGCTGGTGCCGGTCTCTCATCCAGTGCAGAGTTCTGTGTTCCACGGTGTCTGTCCGATGTGCACGCTCCAGGCTTTGTGCATTCACCTCCACTGTGTCTCTCCTATTCTCCCCGCTGAAGATCTCTACTGCGCATGCGCCCGCCGCATCATCCTGCATGGCCGCTTGAGAATCTTCAGACCTTCCGAGCGGCAGAGACACAGGTAAGTAATTACCTATTTGGTAACTTTTTAATTTTTTTGAATGTTTTTGCATATATCTTCTAACTAGCAGTAGATATATGTAAGGCCCCATAGACCTCAATGGAAACGCTAAACAAAATGTGCGTTTGCTGCGCTTTTGCATGCATTTTACGTATATTAGCCCATTTACATCAATGTGTCACAATCTGCTCCCAAAAACGCATGACTTAATGTATGTGCAAAAACGTGTAGGGAAAACGTGCAAAGAAGTGCGCAAAAAGGCTGTCGCCTAGGTGTGAATGCAGCCTTGGACAACAATCGAGTGAGCCGAAATGCAGAGAGACTTCGACTCAGCCGATCCAACATCTGGATTGGCTGAGCCGAAGCTCCGGCAGCTCACTATTCTCATAGGGGCCGAATAGCAATGAGTGAATAGCGAATGCCGCTCGGCTATTCTGCTCGATACCTCCATGGTAATTTTGAAAATGATCAAAAATAGGAAAAGTAAAAAATAAAGATATTTTTAAAGAAAAAAAAAAAGAATAATAATAAAAAAAGAAAAACAATTGGGCAGAGCTAGCAATGATGTCACAGCCGGCTCCGCCCAGTTGTTATTGTTTAATGACAGATCAGCATCCCCTGGTCATTTGGGGACGCTGATCTGTCATTACAACTGGGCGGAGCCAGCCGTAAGATCACGGCTGGCTCCGCCCAGCTGTCATTTGCAGGGCAAACGGCCGGCCTTCGGCAGGCTGTTCGCCCCGCTTCAGCTGTCACTTTGGCCCAGTCGAGCCGAAGCATATGCCTTCAGCTGTATTGTGCATAGCCCGTACAGCAGCCCTTCGGTTTGGCTGTATCCTTCTGCTCATTAGTGAATAACCCCCAAAATGTTTCCAGCACAAATGGTTCTTTCTAAACAAAAGCTTTTTTTATTTATTTCCTGTATGTGGTTTTTTAAACATTACAACTCTATACAACCAAAATGGAAAAAAATATAATTTTGTAAGAACAATAGAAAGAGTTATGTAGTTCTCTTTAACTGTAGCAAGGGGTTAATGAAGGGTTAAATAGGAAATACATTTACTTAAAAGCATACTCCACCCTTTGAAAATAAATAAATAAATGTATACACTTTAATGAAAGAAAAAAAGTGCATTTATTATTTTTTTCGCATTTGAGCCTGCAGAACATTGCAACCGTGATCAGCGGATAATGAGTGCAATGCTCAGGCTCCTGCAGGCCAGCCCCTGTCCATACCTTTAAGCTGGTTCTTGATGAACCGGCCAAAATTCACAGTGGGTGTCGCTGTTAGCACCCTTTTGGCCGGCATCCCTGATCGAGAGGAGATAGCAGTATATGTTCTGTTTTCTCAATTGGACCCCATGTCAGATATGAATGGATTCCACCGTACAAGGTACAAGACCTTCCTCTACACCAAAGCCTTAGCTTAATGATGCCATCTATGAAAGGTAGGTATGCCAAGCTGCTTATAGGACTCATAATGTCAAGTTTACTGTGCAAAGCAGTCTGAAAAAGTGTTGTTGGCTGAACAGGTGGGCCTCACAGATGTAGGCTTGTCATACCTCAATCCAGCACTTTAATGGTGCATTCTGTTAACCTGCAAAGGACCTGCATTGGTTAAAGCTGTCTGCTGTTCATCTGTCTTGATGGGACAAGATATCAGCGGTTTATGAATTATTCATGAGCAATGTTTACCTAGCTGCCTGAAAGTCTGGTCACTGCAGCCATATTTACAGCCTGCAGGCTAACATGGTGGTCACTGATTAACACTGGTCCCCAATTTCCCCTAGAGTCTTGTTCAAACAGCACTAAAAGGATATGTTCATTCTGCTTCCTTTTTATCCAATGAGCACTCCCATAACTTTGAAAGAAATATGGGTATATTGGGACAAATTGCACAGTGCACATAAGCCCTCAGAAAGCAATTGCTTTCCTTTGACCTGACGACTGTCTGCAAAGTCTGGCAGTGCAAGACAATGCAGACCCACAGGCCCCCATTTTGGGAAAACACTTGATGGTTGGGATTATGGCTGTCTGGATTATTGGAGTTGTTGGATGCACTTAAGCATTTAACATCTGTATTAGGCTAGCGCTACATGGGGGATTTTTAGTACTTCAATCACACTAAAATCATTAGAGAATAATCACTGAGTTGCAATGCATCACTGAACAGATACAACAAACAACTTTCTATGGAGTACCTACAAAAGTAACAATCAACCACACATGACTGAAGAATTATGCAATGACTCCACCCTTGCTTTTCTATGTACTGAACTCAACTCTTGCAAAATTTGATGAGTGAAGAAAAAGCAAAACTGAGTATTATACTAGAGAGCTCAGTTTCAAGTTGTACAAGTTGATGTTCAAAATAAAGCGAATGATTGAATGAGATTGCAACAAGCTTGCCAGGCGCTTACTGGTAACAAATGGAAACTAGTGTGTAGCACAATAATATAAGAACACCAGTGGTCATACTCACAAGCATTGGAATGGTTCTGTTCATATTTTAGTAAAAGGTAGATTAGCTACCCCCCATCCTGAACTAACCTGGAGCCCAGCTATTTGGTTCATGTTTATCTCAGATGTTTATCTCCTCGGAGTTGGGATCTTCTTCAGCAATGATTGCCTGTACAGTGAGCCTTCATAGACCTAACTGTCCCCGTCTCAGAAAATGGCCCTGTACAAGTCTATGGGGGCTCACTGCAAAGGTGCCCCATGTTCTTAGAAGATTTTGATTTGGAAGGATTAAACATTGAAGGAGTCCACAGTCGTGACACTGTGGTATGTAACAGCTGGTTGGGGAGATTCAGGTAGGTTCAGGTTAGGGCACTAGAACATGCAGATTAGTACACCTTCTCCAAGATAGTAACAGCTCATTCATGCTGTTTTGAATACACCTCCAGGTCCTGCTGCTCAGATTGTGGTCTTCTGTGTTTTACAATGAGCAGAAGTTGATTGGCACTCCAGGGAGATACTTTAAAAACTAACTTTATTGGAGCGGTTTAACCCTTTCACTGCCAAGGCCTTTTTTTATTTTTTTGCATGCATGATATAAACCACATTTTAGGTCTGAAAATTACTTCAAACCCCCAAAACATTATATAATTTCTGAAAGCCAACACCCGGTAGAATAAAATGGTGGCAGTTGCCAATTGCTATGCTTCACGATATTGGCGCAACTCTTTATCAAACCCAAACATTTTGTTAAAAATGCACTTAAGTTAATTTTAGTGCCCCCCAAAAAACACAATTTTTTTGTAAAATATAAAAGATGAGGTTACAACAAGTAAATAGATACCCAACATGTCCAGGTTAAAAATTGCGTGTGTCCGTGAAACGGTGACAAAATACAGTACCCCAAAAAGTCCATAGACTTTAAAAGCCCCTACAGGTCATCAGTTTAGAGGTACGCATAAATATTAGCCCTTATTGCTCTCACTATGGCGTGCGCGGCGATACCCAACATGTGTAGCGTGATCGACATTTCCGTACTTGGGCGCACCTGACGCGTGTTTGCGTGAATACACGTGAGCTTGTGGGGGCAGGGGACTTTGAATATTTTTTAAAATTATTTTTACATTTATTTTATTCTATATTATTTTTAAAAGTTTTTTTTTTACTTTACTATTATTGCTAAGCCACCCATGTGATAGCATATTGGCAGTGACAGATCCTCTTTAGGGTGATACTGGGGGTCCAAAAGACATATAATATCACCTTTCCACTTTAAATAAGCTATTGAAGTGCAGATTTCTTATTGTTCGGCTTCAGTAGCCCAGCAATGAGCTCAGGGACCAGAAGTGATGTAATCCTTGTTGCTCCTGGTCCCATAGTGCGGGGAGGAGATCGGTGAACTCGCCAGC